CAAAGGCCATACTTTTGCTGAGAAATAAGGCACTGCAGAATTGCATCTTATTGTACTAATAAGAACAGTGCTAGATAAAAATGCTATTAATGATCCAAGCTGTGAAACTTTTATTCCTTTTCTGTTCAGGAATCTCTGGGAAGCAAACTGGATTCTGAATTCCAGCTCTTTCAGTCATGGAAGTATGGTGAAAGTGATCTGCTTTTCAAGGACACCACTCAGTACCTTGTTCATGCAAGTCACCTGAGCTATCAGGAGATCCTTGGAGAGTCTTTTGTTCAGCTGGCAGAATCAGTGTTTAATTGCACACCTGCAGGTAAAGTCCAGTTCTTACTTCAGAGTTAGAGAGAAATGCAGCAGGCAGCCTTGTGTGCACAGCTATGGCACTTTTGTTTGTACAGCATGGAGAAGTATGGTCTGCCTAATCCTACAAATTTCTAAGGAGTTCTGTGTCAGATTTCTGTGAGACTAACATGGTAATTGCAATTCAGAAGGGGAATTTGACCTCTATGCTGCTGTTTTAACGAATAGCATCTGAAGAACTTACTACTTTGGAAGCTGATAGCATCTCTAAGTGTGTACTTTCTTACTGGTTTGTAGGCATCTTGGACTTCTGCAAACAGGATATCTGTGCATCCTCATCCAACTGACAGCTCATACAGAGGCTTTGCAGGGCACAAAACATCAGCATCACTGCTGAGAACAAAGGAAATGTGCAAATCCAGCCAATCCAAAGCAATCAGCAAGGAGTCATCTCCAGAAATGTATGCTGAACACCACCTTGTGGTTTTTGTTTTTTCCAGCAGATTTTATGTTTATGATGATGTAATACTACTCATATATTATCTTTTTCTTTTTTGGAGCATGGCAGCATGGGGAACAGCACAACCAACAGCACAAAACTAGGATCAGCATTGTGGAAAGAGCAGGGCCAGTACCATGGACTAAAATACAGACTTGGTAGGAGTGGCACAGGTTAGTTGGTAGCATTTTGCCTTGTTTGTCTTATAAACAGTTCCCATGCAAAACCCCCAGTCAACTGACATTTTGGTAGTTGCAACATTGTCTTCCTGTACCTGTGATTTTGGTTGCAGCTAGATAGCCCCTGCTGAATGCACATCTATATTTCTTCTTTAACCAGTGTTTTTTTAGTAGTAAATCAAAACATTTTTCTCACAAATAAATGTATTAAGACATTTAATAGCCAGCAGAACTGGATGCTTGCAGCAGTGGATATTCCTCTTTGTCAAGACCTCCAACCATTACTTTATATTGACACTTTGAATTTGAGATTCTCTGAAATGTCAAAATCCTCTCTATCAATTAAACACTACAAGTTTTACAAGCAGAAACTGCCTGAACAGGATCTGAAGCCCTTTGAACAGAAATCATCTGTTCATCATCTGTGTCCTGTCTTGTCCCAGTATGGTGACTGAGCCAAATCCTCAGCTGTGTTTGCAGCCCTGAGGGAGCAGGGACAGAGCAGGATGCTGGTTTGGGCCTCTCAGGTGTTCCTGCCTTTCTTTCCTGGAGCTTCCCTGCCATCTGTGGGGCCCGTGGGACACTGCACTTGGGACAAGGCAGTTCTGAGAACACAGTGAAGAAATGCAGCTGGCAGCCTTGCTTTGCCAACAGCAGCCTGCAGCTGACCAGGGATAAATGAAAAATCTGGGTTATACACAAGATTTTATGGGTTGGGAGGGCAGAGATGTTGTTTTCAGACACAAACATAACCAATGCTTCCTGGGCCTTGTGGATGATCCTGTGGTGCAGCCCTGGGGTACATGAACCAGCCTCAGCCTCGAATCCCAGCTCTGAGCTGAGCAGGAGCTGTTTGTGCTCCTGCTCCTCTGCTTTCTGAAGAAATGGATGCTGCCCCAGTATTCTGAACAGCAGCTGGGATCATGCCTAATATCTGCCAGGCTGGGATGAAGGAGCACCAGAACTGCAGCTCTGTGTCTCAATAACTCCCTGTTACCCAGCAGTGCTGATCTCTTTGGAGATTTCACCTTTCCCCCCTGCATGTAAGACATTATCATGCATATTTACCCATACAAGCCTAAAGGCCTTAAAAACCTGAAAAGTTCTCAGAAAAATTTATTTCCATAAATTAAAAACACACACAAAAGAAACAGTAAAATTTTAGATTCACACAATATTGAACAGAAACAAAATGCCAAGAGCATGATGGAGGCTAATGGCACAAATGTACAAATTCTCAGTGAGCTATTTGTTACCTTGATAGCATCATACAGACTTGTAATCCACAGTTACTATCCATATTCTAGAAAAGCACCTGGAACATGATATAACAAAGGCCCACCTGAAATAAAATACAATGAATGGGAACTGCTTGCAGGAACTCAGCTCCAGCAAGCACAGGAACTCAAATGTATGCAGACACAAGCCAGGCAGGCAAATGCTGTACATACATTAAGGAGCCTTAGCTGCTCTAGTCATAGCATGATGAAAACAATGAGTTTTTTCTTCTTTTTTTTTTTTTTTTTTAAGTGATCCTTCTATCTCTGACAATCAGCAAATTTAGCAAAGAGCTGCTTGGCTCTACTAAGAGACAGGACATGGCAAAAGCTTTGCAATCCTTCTCAGGCTGTTCTGGCCATCAGTTTGTGATGTACTTTCCATGGTGACACAAAAACATCCCCACTGGAGTGGGTCCACTTAATGAAAAGGCAAGTGTACACATCCTTCTGCTAGAGATGTATGCATGACCCCAAAAATGAATTCTCTACACTTTTTACTTTTAATTAGCTGTGCCAGAAGCAGCTCAGAGTGGAACTGCCCAGCTTTTACCCAGTCACCACTCCCAGTGTACAAGCAGCAGCCACAAGGAACAGGGCTGTTCCACCATGAGTGCTGTAAACAGAAACAGAGGTGGGAAAGGAAAAAACAAAAAAGTGCATAAGCAGGACTGACACCTGTATGCTGGGGAGGGGAAGAGATGCTTGGTCTCCACTAGCTTACATTGTCATACAAACACTAAACTGAAAGAGAATAATGCTGTGTGTTTGGGTTTCCACAAACTGAGGCCAGGGAGAAGCTAAACAACTGCAACATCATTTTGTAACTCCCCCAATTTCTGTAAACTGAAGAGTATTTGAGTGTTTTTTTTTGCTCTGCTCTCTCCACTGTAGTTTGTAGGAAAAAAAGTTCATAAATCTTATTTCAATGCAATCAGAAACAAGAGAGAACAGGGAAGAAAGTAAAAAAAAAAAACCACCCTAAACAAAACCCAACACAACCCAAAGGAAAAGGTTCAACACATTCCATGTTTTGAAGCACATTGGAGTCTGAACTTCTCCTGGACCCAAGTCTCTTTCCCCCCCACCCCAATCTATTTCCTTGAAAGCCCCAGTAGGCTTAATTACTTACAGCTTAATTGGTCACTGGAAGCCTCCCATATTAATAGAAGGTGAATGAATGCTCTGTAACAATCCCATTCTATAGCACAAATCCATAAAAATATATCTCTCACTCTTGTTACCACTTCCAACTAGTCAATAATTGGGCTAATAAGCCAACATAGGGAAACTTTCAAACATTTTTTAGGAGGCAATTGATCTTTGTTTTTTAGGGATTTCTTTTTACAAAAATAAAGAGAATCAATTAGAATGTTCTACAACAGCCCAGTAAGTTAACCAGAAAAATACTATGTCAATATGTTCAAAGTTTGCCTTGCTATTTTATCCTCAAACTCCAAACACTACTACTCTAAGTGTGCACTCCTCTCTTTTCTTCAGTCTTCCTGATTAAAGATAACTAGCCTTCAAAACAAGAATATAAACTTCTACAAATCCCAGCACATAAGCTGGGAGCAAAACAAACCCAGATTAGATTTCTTTCAAGATTCAGGCACACACAGTGTAATAATTCTCTTCCATTTCTCTACTCTCAAAGCTCTGCAATTCAACAGATTGCTTGTTAACATTTAGTTTTCTGTTTGGTCAGTAACAGAAGTGGTAGAGCAACAGAAGATAATGATGGTATTTGCAGTCCTGCATTTATTGGGACTTTATAAAAAATACCCACCCATTAGATATTTGCTCAATTTGAAGGTAAATCGAAACTCTATTATATGGGTAGATAAATAAGAAAGTGCAAGTTCAAGTGACAAGTGAAAGAAAGAACAGACTAATTAAATTTGAGCATCCCAGCAACAACAACTTTGCCTGAATAACTTCTCTAGGCACTAAGGGACAGAAATTACCTGAACAGCAGCTAGCATTGGATTTATGCTTCCAGTGAAGTTTAACAGAAGTTATACCAGAAGGGAGCTCTCTTCCTTCCAAAGGTAGAGCTGAGAAATTGCCCAGTGCTGCATCAGATAATTACAAATGGCCTTACATAATAAAAACAATGTCCACATACTCAGAGGCTCTTTGTACAGCACTGGCTATTATCTACAACAGTGCTGTACAGAGAGTATTTAATTATGAGCTACAGGAACTGTAAATCTAAAATGGTAATAAAAACCCCAAACCCTTCTTGTTGACATTAAAATCAAGTTAGTATGAATGGAATTAAAATAACTTTAAAATAAGTATCAAAGATTTTGCTGGTCTTCCCTGCATGCAGCAGCTCAGCTCAGTTAAATAAAAATCTCTGCCTATGTATCCTGCAGCTTAACACCCTCATGGACCAATTACCTTTTCCTCTGGAGAACAAGTTGGCATCAGCCAAGTAAGTAAAAAAATATTCTATTTGGGAAAAAATAGTACTGGGCACCATTTTTCCTTAAAACATGACCTTTTTTGAGTTGAATTGTGTTAAAAGCAGCATATACAAAGTGCAAGTTATTTAATGTCTTAATTATGTGGGGCTTCTGCTGCCTGGAGCCAGGAAGGGCAAAGATACTTAGAAGGAACCTTCTAAGTTAACAGAAGGAAGAAACAATTGAATGAAAACCTAGACATCTACTTTTAATTCTCAAAAGGTTAGTGGTTTATCAAGAATGTGTTTGCTAGAATTCTTCTTTATCAAACACCATATCTCTTTTGTCAGCTTGTTAAAAATAGCCATTGCAGTAACAACAGCAGACTCAAATGTGCAAATGATCTGGAGTACAGAGTTCTAGCATCACTGGAGGTGCACTACTTCCTCCCTGACACTGCTACTCTACCCCCAAAAGATATATAAACATAACTAATTAAATATAAGCAGTAATTTCCAGAGGTTGAGAAAGGAAGGGTAAATTTCACGTGGCTGTGCTACACTCAAACAGGGACTTAAAAGAATCCCTCCAACAGCATTTAAAAAAAATTTAGCACCTTAAAGAGGGTCCCAGGCAAAAACTTGATTATCAGATGTTAGAGCAGTGGCAGAGTAGGGTATGGAGAAGTCAGTAGACTTCTCCCATAAAAAACTACTAAAGAAGCTGACGGGACCATTCCAGCTAAGTGGCTCCCTCAGATGCTGGAGGGCTGCTCCTGCTCAACCTCCTCTGCAAAAAAGGCTTCAAGGTCCATCAGCTTCTGACTCAGAAGAACATCTAACTCTGCACTCTGCAGTGCAGCTCTTTTTGCCCGGGTGAAGCTCCCCACTGCTTTGACTTTGCCTCGTGTCTTCCTTTTCCGGGGAAGGGTAAAGTCCTGAAACTCCAGGATCCGCTTTCTCTTTTGCTGGCTGACAGAGATCAAGTGGCCATTCTTCTCCTTGGGCTCCTCAAAGATTGTTTCCAAGCTCCTGGTAAAAAAAAAAAAAGGAACAAAAATCATGAAAACCTTAGCAGCAGCCACCTTACTGACTTTCATAATCTGTCGCAGACATTTCTTCATAGAAATCCTTTCTTTGGGATTTCTCCTTCTTCTGGGAAGCAAAGGACCCCAGAAGAAGAATGTAAACAATTGTTATCAGCTGTTGTAAAATGTAGCAGGTGTCCCTGTGATTGGCTCATCTTCCTTGTGTACCATTAAAGGCCAATCACAGGAGCAGCTCAGGGACAGATTCCCTGAGCAAAGAACTTTGTTATTCATTCTTTCTATTCTATTCTTGGCATAGCTGCTCTCTGCAACCTCTCTTTTTCTTCCTTTTAGTATAGTTATAATGTATTATATATCTTATATCAATAAATCAGCCTTCTGATCAAGGAACAAGATTCTCGTCCTTCTCTCACCACAGTGACCGTCTAAAGTCGCTGTAATAATAATCCACCTTACTGGATTTCATAACCCAGGTAAACACACTTTAACTTTTATATTTTATATTTACAGCCCCTCCCCACCTCTTGTAATGTTATCTGTACCTTACATCTCCTACAATGCACATCACTGCCAGCTCAGTTATTGCTGCACAGACATTTGGGTAGAATCTCTTTGTATTTCAGTTCTAAAGCACAATTATAGAATCTTAATTTTACAGAATAAATAAGTTTGAGCATTTGATGACAGGCTGTTATTGTTAGTATTTTAAAGAACATGTAATTCCCTTTGAATTTTGCAAAGTAAGTACTGTACTTTGATGGAGACTGGAATAAATGGATAAGTGAAAAAATATATAAAAATCCATACTTAACCAGCTGCAAATTCTTAGTTCATATTCTATTTCACTTTTAAAAATCCAAACTGTAAAAGATACTATTTTCAAATGAACTTTCTCTAGCAGTTTAAACTAGACCAATTTTAAGAATATATCTCCCTCTCATTTTTCATACACCTTTCATCTCCCCCCACCCCCTAATAATTTACATTTAGGAAGGAGAACCAACCTGGCAGGAGGAGGGGACTTATAGTTCTTGTTTGTGTAAATTTCTTCTAAACTAAATTCTTTCTTCTTAAGCCTGAAAAAGTAATGAAAATCAATCTAGAAGGAAGAATCTTGTAACAATCTCTCTTCACAGCAAGCAGATTTACAAGAAACAAGTACTGTTTGCATTCTGTGCCTAAATTAAATGCTAACTAATTATGCTTTAACTAACTGGGGACCAGTTGGAATGAAAAATGAGCTCATTAAGTACATAATTTCATAGTGTTTTATAAGGTTGGTATCAAGACTTGCCCTTTCTGCAGAGATCAATATTCCTTCCAGCATTCTGTGATGCTTTGAAATAATGATGATGCTCAAAAGGGGAAATGCCCTTCACCTTTTTGTGAAAGCTGAGAAGTCTTACAGCTTAACAGATTAATATTTCATCTCTTGAGACTGATTTTAGTTATGGACAGTTACCAAGCTGATCTCTGAAGAAATGCATCCCTTTGTCAAAGGTGGTGCCTGTGTTTAGGACAGAAGTCACCCTGAGCAGTGTGAGTACCAGGCACACTGGATGACTGACTGGAGAACTTGAGCAGCATCTGGCTCTGTGATTCCCCACACTTGCACTGAGCTAATGCTTCCCTAAGATCATACCCCAAACAAAGAAACTGCAAAAAACTCCAACACAATTTGCATCAACAGAACTTCCTAACAGATCACTTCATCTCACTCTGCACTGCAGGTTGACTGATTTTCCCTTTATCAATAAAACTTCTTTCTTCTTTAGAAAAATGACTGCATTGCAGCTTGCTTTTTCACATTTTGCCTAAACTCCAGTCAGCAGTTTTGATCCAGTTGATAGAGCTGTGTCAATCATTTCTTGTAAAGGAAATAAACATCAGATGTGACTCAACTGGGGCTGTATAAAATAGCAGGGGTAAGAGAAGCATTTATTGAAATGATCACACTCAAATGCTTTGAGTCCATTTCAGAGGCACTGCTCACCTTTTTGGTTTGGGCAGTCCCATTGGAGTAAGGTTAGGGTCTGGCTTAGGAACAGTTTTCCTGATTCGGATCTGTGAGACTTTCTTTGGCCTCTTTTCTGGCTCAGTCTTAAGAAAGAAAGATGGAAAAGTTAAAAACAAAGAAATTAAAACCATACTCGTCAACAGAATTCCCTTTTATTCTGAATATACATTATCTATAGAATAAACATTCCTCTCTGGTTTGCCACCTTCTTTCTCTGCAGCAGCACAGAGTAGGACCTGCACTCTGTTTTCTCTCCTCATCTTTAACAGTCACTTGATAATATCCAGCAGCAGCTTCAGCTTCTGGAGAACCAAGAGTCTGAGAGGTCTAAAATATAAAATGAACTCACTTTTTTCAGTTCTGTGTCATCTTGGGATCTCAGACAGGCTGGAACAGAAGCATCTGCTTCATCAAGGGCAGGGATGTGGAGCTCGGATGCTGAAAGCCTGGGGGGAGATGGCAATGGCTCTGGAAGTGTGTGAGGCTTTGGGGATGCAGGAGGGAATGAAGTTTCCAGACTGTAACAGAGAAAAGGGGAACATGAATGTAGATTGATACCCAAGTGATAATGCAACAGCATTCCATGCTCTCAGGAGATGTTCCTGAATTGCAGTATGGGCACAAAACCCCAACACATTTCACAGAAATGGCCCAAGTGAATGAAGTCTGGCACACACATACACCAAACCTGCTGCATCCCACATTGATCCTGACACCACCTAAACTGCCAGAGTATTTGAACATGTCATTTAAAACCCACTCTTTTCCTTTGCATACAGCTAAACAGTACACAGCTCTATATATGAACTGACAGAAAGGGATCCATCCTCCTTTTCTGCCAGCAAATTTCTTTGACACAACTATTAATCCTACTTTTTGTTTACAGATAAAATATAGCTGTGATACCTGCCATCCCTGCACTTAGAAGGAATAGAAGGAAGTTTCAGTACCTATCATCCAGATGCTAAGGCAGAAAGGACTTCTATCCAAGTAAAGAGTCAAACTTCTACAGTCTCACATATTCATTGCATAAGAAGTGGCACAACACGGTTAAAAGTAACAGAACTGTTCTGTCCAATGTTCTATGTGGTGTTTGCATAACTGCCCCTCCACTCCTCCATCACATCACCCAGTCAGCTTTACCTCACCCACTTCCTAACCAGAAAGCTGTTCTGGCAGTGAACTGCCAAAAGCTGAAAGCCAAAATGACATCACAATGGCTTTCTGAGGAAGGTTATGATCCCACTGCTCAGAGTAAATACCAACACCCCAGATACTCACTGGATTGCACAGCCTGCAGGCTGCAGTGCTCCCATACTCTGCACAGCTGAGTGTGGTAACATGGCACAGCTGGGTCAAAGAGGAATGAAACAAAACAAAACAAGACAGAAATTAGGGCTACACTATAAAAAGATGAAGGAAAAATTATTAGTATAAACTGGATTGTAAGACAAGATGCTCATATCAGGAATGAGAATGAAAGACTAAAATGATACAAAAGAAAGCCACATCTGTTTAGGGAACTAAATTTCATTGTTAGGGAAACTGTCCTGCTTTCATTTAAAAATGGTAGTAATGAGAAAAGGAAATAAAGGCACAGAAAGGGAATGAGACAGTAATATTAAAAGTCATAATTATTTAAAGTCTGAAAATTGTCATGCTTTCTATGAAAGTCTATTTTTCTTATTCAAAACTTCAAGTTGTTACAATTTAAGGAACCAAAAACCTTGAAGGAACTTGGTTACTAAAGAAAATAGTGCATAATGGCAACAGTAACAGGTAAAAGGAAGTACTTCCATTAAATTAACTCCCTGTTGTCTCTAACTCCCACAGTACCCTTACGTGATTGGAATAACCAAAGGCCTTTCCATAAGGGTTGGTAATGACCAGAATTCTATGGCATAAAAGTCAGCACAGCAGCTCTAAGTCCTTTGATATTAAGCTTTACTTTTGTGCCCAAATTGTTAACAGCAGGAAATCACTCAGGACAGCTTTTATTACATTCAACAGCAAATCTTGTATTTGCTGTTCTCTCTAACCAGCAGTGAAATGCACTTCACTGTTCTAAAGCAAAGATGGAGTTCTACCAAGGAAATGAAAATCAGCCATGCTGGAAGCACAGGGAAGTCCAACTGCACATAAAGAGGTCAGAAAACCCCACTTATTGTGTTCATCACTTATGTCAGAACTGTAACATTTTGTTTCAACATTCCATCATTATTCCAATGTTACTGGAATCTGTATCCACAGTGCAGCAGAGCCCTCTCTGTCAGAGACAGAGCTTATTGTTTTATGCAATAATAATACAAAATTATAAGCACAGAAGAAAATCACTTTAGAAATTTTTAATTCGAATAAGCATTAATTAGAAAAAAATCTTCAGTGAAAGAATGCTTTATTACTGATAGTGGAAGGGACAGTGGAAATTAGGTAGGGCAACTACTTCAGTTCCCTGTTCTCCTGGTTATTGAGAACACAAACTGTGAGTGAAATATTCTAAAGAGAACAAATCTTTTCCAGATGAAAATGGCCTGCAGGGAACTTTTTGATTTTTCTGATTTTTAATTATCTTAAAACAGGCAAGAATTTCTGTCATAGTGGGAGCTGAAAAGGCTTTTATACTGCACCAAACATACCTCTAATATTTATGTACCAAACAGCTGAGTGGGACAGATTTACATCTGCCTCATACACATACACACCTTTGGCAGACATTACAATTTATATTAACAAGAGAGAAACTTTTAGGTATGTTACCCATTTATACAAAGCAAATTGCAGCATTTGTTATCTGGCAAGATTTTTGGTTATATTTGTGTCAATCTGTGACATAGGCGAAATTCAACAGCTCTCCACAGACTGCCACACTAATCAAACCAATTAATTAAACAGACTTTGGTGCAGTGCTCGTGAAGCTCTCTGCCCAGGAAATGCAAGGTGACAAAATCAGGGACTGAACTGCCCTGTGTTACTGAGGGATAAAGGGCAAAATCTTTGCTCAAGGGCATGCAAAAATCCTGGAACAGGGCTAGGAACTTCTTTCATTCTTTTTATTAGCAAAATGATCTTAAATGCTCATAGCAAAGTAAAGTTAAATATGGAAAGTAGATTTCAGTCCTCTTCCCACTTGTACCAAGATTGACACACAGAGAAAAATTCATTATCAATGTTAACTGGAGCTACATTTGCTTGTGCCAGCGTCACATATGAAAATCCATAGCATGCATAAAGAGGTTTCAATTAGCATAGAATGGTCATGGAATACAATTAAAAATGTTACTGAATGACATCCCCCCCGCCCTTTACAATTCTTCCTGACCTGATATTGAGCATTTTACAGTGGTTCCAAGGGGTTTTTGTGGCTCAGACCTCTGAAAAAAACTTTCCTACCTCAGAAATCCAGTTCCTCTGCAGTCACTCAGAATAGACCTAATGAAGTAGCTCACCTTTTGCATTATATACTCTGATGCATGGTGTGTATATTTTGCAAGGGAGAAGAAAATAGAGTTAGCCATTCTGCCAAAACAGGACAGTATTAAAGAAGCGAAGGCAAATATATTTAAATTCAGCTAAAAGACTGTTCTGTAAGAAAGGATCATCCACGCTGAGCCATTCCTGGAGCAGAATGTGCAGATCTGGAACAGGAGAAAGTGACCCTCCAGTGCGAGCTGCAATCACCCTCTCCCTCCCAAAGAGGAGCAAGAATATACCCTGCACACATTTACTCTCAGAAATAAGGTGATGGGTTTTACCTGTTGTCGATGGCCACACTTGGCTGCCACTTGCAGTGACTGGAAAGGAGAGGAGTGATTTCGGAAGGACAGCCAGCGGGACCGTGCTGACTCCAAATGGACAACACCCTGCCCAGGGAGTAGGGCAGTGAGGACACCAGGCCTTGGGGGACACAGCTCGGCAGCCTGGCCCCTTTCAAACCCTGGGCCAGCTGGGACATAAACAGTCTCTGGATGGTAGGAATATGGCTGGTTAAGTTTCTTCTTCTTGTCCAAATCCTGTAACATCCAGGGGAAGAAAGTGCCAAAACTGTGTGAAGGCCGAGCCTGGAACAACCTCCTCTTCTTCCAGCTCCAGTGTTTCTTCCAGGATCAGGATGAACAGCAACAGTCCTGGGGGTTGTTGTGGAGTGAGAGGAATGAAGATCATTATTTACACAGGAATCTTCCTGGAAATGGAAAGCTGTTGTATCTGAACAGCTCTGAGAAAAGAGAAAAGACAAAGTCCACTTTGAAGCTGGTGCTGGAGTGTCTCTGAAAACTGGGCTGTGCTGTACAGAGTGCTGGGATGTAATCCCTCTGAGGTCTGTCACAGGACTGGAGTTCAATTTTATGTGGCAAGAAATTGGGAAAACTGAGGTGTCCAAGAAAGGGGCTGGAGGCTCGTGGCTTAAATCTGAAGAAAATATTTTGGTAGTTTCTACAGGATAAAGTGCCAAAGGCTGAAAGCTGAACATCTTGGTGCAGCAGCTGTCAGCCCAGCGTGAGTGTACGTTCCTGTTAATGCAAGAAAAGGCTTCCAAGAGATTTTTAGATCTGCACTGGCTGTACCTGTCACGCACTGGAAGAATTTCAGAAGAAGATGGCAGAGGTTCTAAGTCACGGCTGCTTTTGGCAGGGGCCAGGAGCTTGCTGGCCATTGCAGACAACTTGCTCAGCAATGCTGGTTCTTTGGTACATTTTCTAAATTTCAAGCTGTTCAACAAACTGCACCTTTTGGCCCTCTGCCTTGGCATATGCACAAATCTCATGGCTGTTTCCTTTTCCACTGTTGGTGCTTTACATGCAAAGTACAAAGATTCCAGAAGCGGGTTTTCCTGTTTAGGGAATATTTCCAGGGGAATCTCAGAGACAGGTGAACTTTTCATTGTTTTCATTTTTCTTACAGTTTTTAGCTGATACAATGTGCGAACTTTTTTGCATGTCCTTCCAGGTTGTATTTTTAATGGAAGTTTATTTGTAGTTCCTCTTCGTTTATTTGTAGTTCCAAAGGCACCAGGGATCCCATCATACCCTAAATTAAGGTTCAGGTTTTTCATTTCTGAATCCTGAGTCTTCAAAAACTGTGAGCTAATAAAATCTGTGGTAATCTTTGGCCTTTTAACTTCTTGTAAAGTGCTACATAGTTTACTTTCACTGCCTCTTACAGCAACAATCTCCTCTGAAGGACCCCCCAAGTTCGTACTTCTGGATGTCATCAACTCAGAAGAGCTGCATAAGAGTTCAGAACTGTGCAGCACACTTGGCTGCAGTATGATTTTTGCTTTCTCCTGATGTTCTAACTTCTGTTCTTGTTGTGCCTTGCCCAACTGATGTGCTTCCATCTTTCCATACTTCTTCTGTATAAATACTTGACGTTCCTCTATTTGATCAGCTCTCTCTGAACATAAAGCCCCATTCTCCTTGCAAACTGCACCTGTTGGTATTTTGTCCTGGCTTTCTGTTACTTCCTTTACATTATCTTTGCTCCGTGCATTCAGTTTGTAAGGCACCCACGCTTCACTGCAAACCACACAGTTTGGGGATGGTTCTTGGCAGCTGTCTGATAGTGTGCTCAGAGGAGGAGAAAACGTGGGCGTTGCATCATCCTGCACTTCTGGGGCAGCCTTTGTGGCAGATACAGCTCCAGCCTGACAACCATGCACAGTTTCTGAAAGTACACTGGTACCTGCTGAGTTTGGGAGCTTTGTATCATTCTGTCTTTCTTCTGAAAGACTATTTAATTTGGATCTTGGGATTTCTTCCAAAACCTTTCCATAATTCTCAGTCCTGAGGGGGGCTATTTTGCTACCAGACTCTTCAGAATCTTCCAACAAGTCCCATGAACAATCTTTGGGCAGCCTTCCTCTAGGGGCTTCCTCTTTTCCTATCATCTCTTGTACACAGGTGTTCTTCAACTTCTCTTCACCAGG